CGTGCGGAAATAAAGGCAATCTTAAAACGTAAACAAAAAATATAGAACTATTTATACGAGTGTTGCTGGGACTTCATTCTATCATCGAAAACTCCTCAATTTATTGCATGTAATTTGAATTTACTACAAATTTTAACAGTGCGACGATAACTTCCCCAGCTTTAACTGGAACAGGACTGCCCACTTAAAGTGGCGAAGGGGATCGAGGGGGACTACGTCAAAAAGATGCAAAATTTGCTGAAATACATCCACTTTGCCATCCTTGCTCAGGGGCCCCCTAATTGATTTGGGTCCCTGGCGTTGCACCACTGAATTTCAACCTGTCATCTTCATCCTGAGTTATTTGACAACATTAATATTTAATATCTTAGCATTAAGCCTAGTTCACATTGATCGTAAACATCGGCGATGCCCATTGTCGGTGGTCATTGATGCATAAAATGTTTTGTGCATTTTCTTCTTCGTTGCTCACAGACAATGGATCGTAGAACATCGCCGATCAATGTGAACCAGGCTTAAATGCCATGATAAAATGTATTATACTGAGGCGTGCAGGCCTAGAAAATCGCCCGAATTTTAATGACTATAAGAATCTGCCCGCCTAAAGATTGAGTGGGACGTCTATGATTGTTAGAACTATGGAAAGATATGCCGTATCTCCTGCCATAATAACAGGTAAATTAGCCAACCAAAACTGAAAACAAATATATGAAACATAAGTAATAAAATATATTGTAACCCACCGGGCACACGACGTTGTTTCAACGTTGAAATTTGGTAGAAAAAAGGTTGCGACGTCGACAACCTAATATCTACGTTGCTCTGACGTTGTTTTACAAACATTGGTTCAACAGCAGCCAACAGACGTTGAATTAACGTTCATTCATGGTTAAATGTACGACGTCGATTTGAGAACCAATCTCAACGTTGTTTTAACGTGGATTCAACGTTGAATTATCGTTGACGAGATTGGCAACCTAATTTCAACGTTGTTTCAACGTCGAAACAGTAACGTCGATCCAATTTGCATAGTCAACCCTTTTTCAACGTCTATCCAACGTCTGGAAGGTCATTTTCAACGTTGGATAAACGTACGTCATTTTGCCCGCTGGGAAGTTGGTGTACAAGACGACGTGTAAACAACGGTAACGATTGTCTATAGTCTGGTAAACACATACAATTAACGTTTAAAAAATTAGTTACCTTGCAGCTTTAATTAAACATATAGGGATTATAGCTATATGAGTTCCCCATCCGTTAAGTCCTGAGAGATTCTTAAATCTTAAAGACCATGTCAAGTCCGTTCTGCGCATCAGTTCTGCTCACATAACAAGGGAGGACCCACTGAGGTATAAACATTGCCCAAATTTTGCATCTTTCGAACTTTTTTGAATTGAAACGTCCTCTAGTTTATCTATAGTTTATCTATAGTTTATCTATAGTTTATCTAAACGTACTCTAGTTTATCTATAGTTTATCTATAGTTTATATAAACGTACTCTAGTTTATCTAGTTTATATATATATATATATATATATATATATATATATATATATATATATATATATATATATATATATATATATATATATATATATATATATAGCTACGGCATTGAAAAATGTTGATACTCTATCTATGATAATTATAAAAATGTACATGAAAAATTACTCAAGTTAAAAGTATATGAAAAGTTAGTAAATTAAGTTAATTGCGAAAAAACTTCAAAAAATTTGAATCCATGCATGCAGCTCTAAAACTTTGTATTAAGTTGTTGTTGCCATGCAAATAATGAGTAAATTTACTTCGCATGCATGTGCATGCTTCATGTATGCAAATGACTATGATTTTGTTTCTGCATAATTTTAAGTGATTTTGCTTCCGTTATGATAATAAGTAAGAATACGGTTTCCCTCCTTCAGACTCATGTAATTTTGATCCTCTTTATAAATACTCACTCGTGCATGTTTTTTCCAAATTGCACTAAAAACCGAACCATTATCTATATACATAAAGAATCGAGTATTAAGAGGCTGTCTCTCTAAGAACCGACCAATGACTCTCAACTCAAAAAATGAAATTCTTCGTTACTTCCACAATGAAATGTATTTACTCCAAGAACAAACAAACACTATTTGGAATTTTGAAATTTTATTAATTTTTAAAATTTCAGCGATTTTTCGGTCCCGCGCCGTCGCGCAGAAAATCCTCTGCCTATATCAGGCATAAAAATTAGCCGAATTCAAATACATATAATTTTAAAAGTATTCAACCAAATTTTATGATTTTTTCACCCACCAACGTGAAAATTATTCTACTTTGAAACTTGTCTTGTTTTATGATGCCTTTACAGAACGATTATGGCAAACTTTAGCGATAACAAGCACCGGATCTAAATACGGCTTTGTACACATATCAAATTCGACTTTAAATTTCTCAAAAGTGGCACCTAACTGGATTCAGTGACTAATACGGTTATAAAAAGGGAAGTTTGAAGTACCCATATCCATAATAAAACTTGTTACCAACCGCGATTTGAAGACTCGACAGCCTCTGAAATTTGATACAATTTGGCTATTTTGTTTTGTTTTAATTAGCTTCAATTATAGAGGAGTTGAGACGTCAGAGCTTCCAGTCACTTGTAAAATGCGCTGTTGTTCCGTTTTTTTTACACAAGCCGTTAATATCATCGTAGTTAAGCGATTTTTCTGTGTTCATGAACATCACAAGTGGATTTAATTCGAAAAGATTTCGATCGATGCAGCGAGGTAAACGTGGTAGGTTTTCGTATTAAAATTTAACTACTCGGGGAAAACCCGGAAATTATTGTCAATGCTGATATTTATTAATCTAAACTCTGTATGTCTATTCTGGCAAATTCTGCACGATTGGAAATGAATTTAAACTGGAAAAAAGACTTGATCTAGAAGACTACTATAGACACTGATTATTATAAAAAGATCCAGTTGCAATCGTGCATGCCAATTGAATTGGATTTGGATTATAGTTTGAATAAGGGTTTTGATTAGTGTTTCAACCAGGGCTTGGCTGAAATTTAATAGAATAGAGTCATATATGGAATAGTCTCCAAATGACCCCCACCCCAACTCTATCCTGACCCATACCCTACACCCACCCCACCTCTATTGTGATGTCATTTGAGGACGTTTATATCAACTTCACCTGGAATTTGTTTAAAATTAAGGAGAGCTAATAAAGAGTGAAGTTTATTTTCATACAAGAGTTTTCAAATAACGTCACAAAAACGCGAGGTTGGGGTAGGGTTAGGTTTGGGGCAGAGTCGTACTGGGGGTGTGGGTGGGTCAGGGCATGTGGGGACTCTTATATAAAACGTCGGCCAGAATAATGGTAGAAACTGTTCACGATGTATTTAAATTGGGGAATGTTAATTAATGCGTAAATTACCCCTATAATGTATAGTATCATGTGAAGATATAGTTGGGAAACGAAATTGTCAAATATATACTAATGTATTGCTGTGCATTACACAGAAGAGAAGCCATAGAAACAAGACAATTCGTCATGTTTCTGGTTTTCTGCTAATAAATGGCAGTAATTGTTGCACGATTAAACTGTTTATGACGGGAAGTGCCAAAATTAGCAATGACTCTATTTTACCTCGCTTACCTCGCCGTAACGTTTACCTCGCTGCATCGAGCCAAATCTTTTCGAATTAAAACAACTTGTGATGTTCGTGAACACGGAAAAATCGCTTAACGGCTTGTGCGAAAAAAAAACCGGGAACGACAGCGCATTTTACAAATGACTGGAAGCTCTGACGTCTCAACTCCGCGATAATTGAAGGTAACAAATTTCAGAGGCTCTGGAGTCTTCAAATCGCGGTTGGTAACAAGTTTTATTGTGGATATTGGTACTTCAAACTTCCCTTTTTTCGACCATATTAGTCACTGAATCCAGTTGGTAGCCACTTTTGAGAAATTTAAAGTCGAATTTGATATGTGTACAAAGTCTTATTTGGACTTGGTGCTTGTTATCGCTAAAGTTTGCCATAATCGTTTTGTAAAAGCATCATAAAATCAGGTAAGTTTCAAAGTACAATAACTTTCACGTTCGTGGGCGAAAAAATCATAAAATTTGGTTGAACACTTTTAAAATTATATGTATTTGCATTCAGCTAATTTTCATGCCTACTTAGACAGAGGATTCTGCGCGACGGAAAATCGCTGAAATTTTAAAAATAAATAAAATTTCAAAATTCCAAACTGTGTTTGTTTATTCTTGGGATAAATACATTTCATTGCGAAAGTAACGAAGAATTTCATTTTTTGAGCCTAGAGCCATTGGTCGGTTCTTAGAGAGATAGCCTCTTAAATTCATTTTCAATCGTGCAGAATAGACATACAGAGTTTAGATGAATAAATATCATATTTGGACTTGGTGCTTGTTATCGCTAAAGTTTGCCATAATCGTTTTGTAAAAGCATCATAAAATCAGGTAAGTTTCAAAGTACAATAACTTTCACGTTCGTGGGCGAAAAAATCATAAAATTTGGTTGAACACTTTTAAAATTATATGTATTTGAATTCGGCTAAATTTTATGCCTGATATAGGCAGAGGATTTTCTGCGCGACGGCGCGGGACCGAAAAATTGCTGAAATTTTAAAAATTAATAAAAATTCCAAATTCCAAATAGTGTTTGTTTGTTTATTCTTGGGATAAATACATTTCATTGCGAAAGTAACGAAGAATTTCATTTTTTGAGCCTAGAGCCATTGGTCGGTTCTTAGAGAGATAGCCTCTTAAATTCATTTCCAATCGATCTGTCAGCACCCAAATAATGAACAGGCGACAAAATTGCTGCACTTGCAACAAAAACTGAATTCAACGAATGCTATTTTTTATATACAGTGGACATTTTCATGTTGAAGTTGCAACACTCGCGAGCGAACATGTGCAAATATTTCCATTTTCAATTAGCATGGCTTGAGATGATTTTTTGTTGCAGCCACTTTTCATTCTTATTCTATTTCTGTATCTTGTGCAACAATCTTTTTCTTTAACAACTCACCAATTTGGCAGAGATCTCCACTGAATCCCTTTGGACATTCACACCTGTAAGGATCAGAACCAGGTCCTGCATCTTTGAGATAAATGATCGTCTTTCCCCCATTTTTACAATTCTTCATTTTATGACATGGAACCTGTGAAGCGAATATGTTAGAATTCAGCTCACGGTAAAGTAAGAGAAACTCAGCCTGCATGCAAATTTAATTATTTGATTAAGCTGAAATAACAGAATAACATCACAAGTTAACAGTATTTTTAAATGAAAACGAGTTTTAATTGATAATATATACCGCAGTGGATGTCCTTAAAACATAGCTAACTTTTTTCATTAAAATATTAATTTTTCGGAACTATATCACAGAATTCTGTGACTATATAGAATAAAATAATGCAATATAGTGTATCAAAAGCACATAGTGTTCTTATAAATATAATCGAGTCCAAAGAACGAGTTCAATTTGGACTCGAAACCATTCTATAGGCCGATTTTACACTACACAACTTTTGCCTAAAACTGTCGCCAACCTGCTTATAACTTGAGTTGTACTGTGTAAATCAAGCACACAACACATCTACTGATCTACGTCGTCACTCGCATGCTAAATGTTTTGTTATATAGTAACAGAATAAATATCAACAACATTTATAGAACAATAAATTATTGTATTTCATGACAAAAACTCTATGCATGTAAATGAGTTTAAACTGTAAACTAACCTATATACTTATATAAACGGTTTCAGCAGCATATCCTGTTACCTGCTGTGTATTTTTCTTCTCTTTTATACATTCTTTATTTTAATACAAACTTGGAAAATCGTAGTTTCTAAATTTGCGAGTTCTGCCCAAATTTTGTTTATTTATATATACAAGTAGCCAGTTTGGGCGGTTACGTTTGGCGTTTACTCTAGCTGTATAACAATAAGGTAGTATAGCTAATAGGAAAATTTGTGAAGATCCCAAAATTCTCATGCATTTTTTTGACTTGCAGCTTGGGCAAAATTAACCTAATTTCGCTTATATAAATAAGCTATTTAAGAAACCAATTCGGGCAAAGTTTATTAACTATATTTTACTGCAGTTTCGTACGTACCTTTCTTGGAGCAACGGGATGATAAAATATCCAGCCTTTGTCATCAGCGTTGCAATCATGAAAGTTGTGATCCAGTGTGTGTGTTAACTGGCAGTTTGGAGTCTTTTTCTGGTGCTTTTTCATAAAATTGTATCCGGTACAGAATGGATATTGCAAACACTTCATGGCACAATGATTCTGAAAATCATACGTCGCTTCAGACAAAATATTATTTGTCAAATGGCAAACATCTACAACGCGAAAAGAATATTTATCAGCCAAAGAAAACCTTAACGTTTACAGGTAACTAAAATTGTTACAGAAATGACATGGAAACATTAAAAAAACCCAATATATAGCTCTGTGAATTAGAAGCAAGAATAAGGACTTCCCTAAAATAAACTTACCTCCATACAGCAAGCGAAACGTGTGATCTTCAAGCATGCAGTATTCTTGTTCCATTGTAACTGCAAGTGGCAACAAGATCAGGAACAGGAATCGCACATACATGAGCGCTGTTCGTAGAAAGCGTTTCATTTTGTTGTTATGAGAGAACACAGACTCGGGTTGACCAATCTTTTAGTTGTTTTCTGGGCGTCGACAGCAAAGCTGAACTAATTGGCAAATTTTAGGACGTTATATATACATGCTATATGCGCTATGGGACGCTAATTCTCGTGTAGTTATAGGCCATTAAATGTGTTTGCATTGCAAAACAGCATGGCTGTTTATTTGCGTATTAATTGCATTGTGGCAAAGTATCGCATTAATAATTAAATTGTTACTAAAAGTTTCATCTGTTCACGGGCAGAAGGATTTTTTTGGAAAAAGTTTACGCAAATCTAAATTTTTAAACACCAATAGCAGTCTTTTTTGTAGCCTGCATGGCAGGCGGTACTTAGGAAATACCGCCTGCCGCAAAACTGGGTGTAAATGAACTACCGCCCCTGAAGCATCAACGCTATTTATAGATGCATTAATTAAGTAAATATTCAAAATTAGCCACTCCCAAGCTGCTCCCAAGTCCCAACTGCCCAACATAAAATAAATTCCTTGATTCTCATCACCGCCCGACTGAATTTTAAAATCCTCGTGAAAACGTTTTATTTTTCGTTATACAATATAAATGTACCGCCCGACAAAATAATTCAAGACAGTTAATTTTTTCATATTTTATATAGAGTTTTTATTGCCATTTTAAACTTCCAATTTGAAACAAACAGAATTTTGAGTGAAATTTCATTGTATTTTAAAGAAACTCAGTCATTCTGTCATTGTTCGTGGAGATACGAACTATTGATATATAAATTATATAAATATAAAATATAAGAAATAAATCTCCCACTGTCTTCGACATTTCAAAGTGTAGACTGTGTCTAGTGATGAGAATCAAGGAATTTATTTTATGTGTTAATATAAACCAAGCCCATTTTAATAGCTGCCTTAAAACGGTGGTTTAATAAGCTCAAAATACAAAGCATGCAAGTCTACACTATAGATTCGTCATCAGTCAACAACCAAAATGAAAGTATTGAACCTTATAGAACGATAGTTTTTATTTGTTTACAACTATACATATTCAACGGGTATATAAGAGTTTAATTGTTATTTGATAATTACTGCATCAACCGGCCCCTTGTTTATACTTTGGAGGTTCGTATATAATATCTATCAAGTATCTTTGGTTCAGAACATGATAGGCCTATATGAAAATCCCACTGTTCGATTCAGTGAAGAAATATGTCCTAATTCCTATCGATAGTTTTAGTAAAATGTCAACATTATTGCGATTTATGGCCTTTGAAAGTCAAGCGAGATCGTATATTATCAAAGTAATACGCATGGTAATTGTCTGAACGAAAATATAGACTAGCCCATACCTTTCGCCGATCATAACTTCGGCCCCTTCGGACGTATCTTCTTTGTTAAATATTCTTGTTCGAATCTCTATCAATAACACTATTTAGAGTGTTATTTTTCAGCTTGTATCTTTTAATTTGCTTCTTTTATTATGTTATTCCATTTCTGGTCTGACTTGACGTGAACTAATTTCAAAACGTAGAGTTTCAAAACGTCAAAACATTTGGTTAATGATTAACATTTAACCGAATTTAGCCGTTGATTGACAACTACATAAAAATACTAACCAATCCGTTTTTCCCGTTCACCAGCGGACGGGTAATTCAAAAACCCCTAGTTTTGCGGCAGACGGTATTTCCTTTGCTTCCCTAATTTTCGCTGCCCGTAGAAATACCGCCTGCCATGCAGGCTATCTTTTTTGCTGGCCAACAGTTTTAGCAAATATGAAATTACATGCAGTTATTCCAAGAACGTATGCATAATTACAATACACGCATTAGTCGCAATTTTGTATTCCAATTATGCATGCAAACTTTGTATTCTAATTTTCATTTTGTACTCTAAATTCAATTCTAATTGTACATGCAAACTCAGTTTTCTCCGAATAACTTAACTACGGATCATATCGAAGAGAAATCGTTGTATTCAATCCAATCAGTATACTGCTCAAACTCTCAATTATTATACAGGCTGTTTTTATTATTTCCATGATGGGAAAGGAGCTATAGGCGAGTATAAGATTTAGAAAACTAGGAAAAAGGTTAGATGGAAAACACGGAGTCGGAGTTCCGGAGTCGGAGTCCCGGAGTCGGAGTTCCGGAGTCGAAGTCCCGGAGTCGGAGTCCCGGAGTCGGAGTCCCGGAGTCTGACGTCATAAAAATATGGAAAACACGGAGTCACATGGAAAACACGGAGTCTGACGTCAGAGAAAAATATGGAAAACACGGAGTCATATGGAAAACACGGAGTCTGACGTCATAAAAATATGGAAAACACGGAGTCATATGGAAAACACGGAGTCTGACGTCAGAGAAAAATATGGAAAACACGGAGTCATATGGAAAACACGGAGTCTGACGTCATAAAAATATGGAAAACACGGAGTCATATGGAAAACACGGAGTCTGACGTCAGAGAAAAATATGGAAAACACGGAGTCATATGGAAAACACGGAGTCCACCATAAAATATGGAAAACGTCCCGGAGTCGGAGTTCCGGAGTCGAAGTCCCGGAGTCGGAGTCCCGGAGTCGGAGTCCCGGAGTCTGACGTCATAAAAATATGGAAAACACGGAGTCTGACGTCAGAGAAAAATATGGAAAACACGGAGTTGTCAGCGTGAAATATGGAAAATAGTAATTAAATTAAATAATATATAATTTATGCGAATATAAACAAACGGACGAATTTATAATATAACGAATTGGAAATTTTCTGCACTATAAATTCTGGTATTTCTCTAAAATGTCGTGAAAATATGGATTATTTATTTTTAAATACAATCAAGCAAATAATATTGTTTCTCTTGTCGTGTGACGTGTTCAGTTGTATAATATTTGAAGTGATTTTAATGCGGATTTTGTTCACCTCGCATGGTATGTTGATAAAAATATAGTTTATATTAACAGGGACGCTGGAACTGGGGGGGCAGGGGGCGGCGGCTGCCCCCTTGCCTTTTGCTAGGGGGGGGGGCAGGGGGGCAGAAGTGCCCTTTTAGTTGTAAAATAATACGTGATAAATCACATTTCCAACGATGCTTTTTATAGGAAAATCACGAGATTCAGGTAATTTATAGTTTATATTTATAAAAATTTTGGGAAATTTTTGGAATTTAGAAAAATATTTTGAAGAAATGGCGAAAATTTAAAGGGGAAGTCAAGTCCGTAATGTAAACAAACGGTTTGTTTACATTTTGAACTGCTCTATTTTTTAAAATATGATGTACTGTCTGAATATCTAACACCATTTTGGTTCGCTATGCTTCTAAATGAATATGAAATAGAGTTTATGTTCAGAAAAATTCGAAACATTCGAAATTTGGGCAATGTTCACATTAGAGGTCCTCTCATTGTTATGAGCAGAACCGATGCACAGAACGAACTTGACTTCCCCTTTAAGATATGCGGAAAAATTTTTGGCTTCACGGAAAATTTTTGTATGTCCGGAAAAAATTTTTGACCCCTAAAATGGTACACTGACTGAAATTTTTTTGGCGACGGGGGGGGAGGTCGCCAAAAAATTTTGCAGTGAACAAAAAATTTTTCAGTAAAGGTGCCCTTGGTGTGCGTCCGCCCCCCCCTTTGCCCTATTATCGTTCCGGCGTCCCTGTTTATATACTTAATACTGCTAGAATATTTCATAGTCGATTTACATGTAATATTTATAACACACAAAATCTTGACACTAAACAGATATGCTGCTTGGAAACAGCGTGCAATATTGTTATTTACTAATAAATAGATGCAGCCAGCCAACACACAAATCCGTGCAGTATATTAATGGCATTAATAAAAAAGTTTTCAGGTGTCCAAAAAAATACCTGCACTATAGTGGTAAGTCCATACCAAGTTAATATCTCTAACATATAAGTTTTAGGTTTTTATACTGAATTAAATATCATGCAATATCATAAGTTGCAATTAATCAAGCCATTGATATTTGAGTGATCAAGATAGGTATTTATAACTGACCATTTGTTCCAGGCTTAATTGCATGATACCATTGCAAAATCGTCTGGCGTTAGGCAGAGTAAAATATAAAGTACGGTACATCTGGGCACATATATTGCCACTTATAATTAAAGGGTTAATATAGAAATTTTGTATTTCATAAAGTATTACAATGCTTTTGAAAGGGATAATTTTAAGTAAAACCCACCTGTTGTGGACTTAAAAGTAAAATTGTGAACTGATGATGCAGAACCACTGGTAGCTAGGGATTGTGGGGCACTAAATTTACTGTTTTCGTAGATTTTTGTCCAAGCAATTAAGTTATAAAGAACAGAATAATAATGTTGCCACATTCATGTAGTTATAGGCAAATGGTTGATTTGTCAAATATCAATTATGGATTGTTTCATTATAAATACTGGAATGCTCATACTGGATGGTTGTACAATAAGCAAAGTTTGCCTTAGGGCCTGTTTATATGGAAGCCGGGCTGGCCCGCTTAGCAAGACAGCCCGGTAAGTGGGATGAATTTCTCTCGTGTTTATATGAGAAAATTTCATCCCGCTTGCCGGGACAATTTTGTTACATTGTATTGTTTTGACAGTTGTTAAAAATAGCTTGCGACGGTATCTTTGAACTTTCATCCCGGCAACCAGCCTAGCAGGGGTGGAAACAGTATCGGACCACGGGACCATTGGTCCCAGAAAATTTTTTAAGCTCCCAGAAAATATTTCCCCAAGAAAGAAAACAATTGTCATAATTTAGATAATAGGAGAAATTCAGAGGAAAACCATGACCTCAGAAATGCAATTATAAGTGCATCCATTTTAATAGTGCAATTGTGTATAAATGTATTAGCCTATAGACTGTATGGAATGATATGGAATGATGTAACAAATGTTGTTAGGCAAATGCATTTTTAGCCAATCTGGGACACCTGATTTTCAAAATTTTCTGGGGGAGCATGGATCCCCCATACTAGTGGCCTCTTTTGGCATCTGTATTTACCTTAGGATCAGACCCTTAATGCATGTTATCTATAAACTAGTTTTATGCTATTTTTTAATTAGATTCTCAGTGGACTGAAATATTGCATGACATCCAATTTCACAACTTGTTAGCATCACACAGTTACAGTATCGAGTGTCAATTTACTTGATTATTTGCAGAAAATTTTCAATGCTCTCTTGCGGTCCCAGAAAGTAAAATTTTTTTCCACCCCTGCAGCCTAGCCTGCTTGCATGTGAGTGTTTCTATGGAGAAATTTCCATCCCGGTAAGCGAGATCTCGCCTCTTTCAAGCGAGTCCATATAAACGCACAATAATTTTTACTATAAAAATAACTACACAGCGAGATCTCGCTTACCGGGCTGTCTCCCTTGGCGGGCCAGCCCGGCTTCCATATAAACAGGCCCTTAGTATAAATTTAGTAAGCCAGTATATAGGCTGGCTTGCATTACATATAAAACATCCCCTATAATCCTACAATAGTTGGAAAAAATTAAGAAGTAAAACAAATCTAGAATGAAATATATTTCCCTTCAATATATGCAATTTGTAGTTAGTTGTATATATAGGCACAAAAATGGCTGAAATAGTTTAAAATTCAATACAATGTCATTGTGTTGACATGAAAATATTCTGTTTTTGTAGCCATAGGTGTTAATTTAAACCATGAGATATGCTCAATCGTATGAACTATGAATGCAGATTTGCAGTGGTGTAGTGGCATAGACTTGTATGTCACTATGCATCTATGTAAGATATATTGAGCATTAATTGCATGGTTTAAATTAACACCTATGGCTACAAAAACAGTTGGTAGAATATTTTCATGTCAACACAATGACATTTTATTGAATTTTAAACCATTTCATGAGCCATTTTTGTGCCTATATATACAACTATAACTACAAATTGCATATATTGAAGGGAAATTTACTTCTTAATTTTTTCCAACTATAGTAGGATTATAGGGGATGTTTATATGTAATGCAAGCCAGCCTAGATCAGTAGCTTTACACTTTACTAAGGCAAATTTTGCTTATTGTACAACCATCCAGTATGAGCATTCCAGTGTTTATAATGAAACAATCCATAATAGTAAATTTAGTGCGCCACAATCCCTAGCAGTATTCCTAGCAGTATTCCTATAGCAATATCCCTATCCCAGTGGTTCTGCATCATCAGTTCACAATTTTATTTTAAGTCCACAACAGGTGGGTTTCACTTAAAATTATCCCTTTCAAAAGCATTGTAATACTTTATGAAATACAAAATTTCTATATTTATTTTATGTGGCCTAAATAACAACGCTGTTTCCAAGCAGCATATCTGTTTAGTGTCAAGATTTTGTGTGTTATAAATATTACATGTAAATCGACTATGAAATATTCTAGCAGTATTAAGGTTACAGGACACCCTTTTTGACGTTTTGCGGAAAATCGCTACTGCGCGCTCAATATCAGTCCGATTTTCATCAAATTTTCACCAATGTTCTCCAGTGCATGCAAAATATGGTAAAGTTGTAAAATTAACAAACAATAAAATAATGTAAGAATTATTCAGGAAAATCTTAAATCGCGGTACCGTTCCGCTTTTGAGTTGTGCTCCTGCTGGTTTTAAGTTATATTTATGAAAATATCATTTTTATACAGTAAAATAGTTGTTCTAAAAAATTGTGTTCGGAAATTTTTGTTTATTTCGTCATTCCGCTGATATGGCGATTTCTTTGACGACTGCAATATATTTCTGAATTGTTTGAGTGAATTGCTCTTTATTTTTAAAATATCCAAAATTAAAAAAAAGCCGAACACAATTTTGAAACTGACGTATTTAGCTATGTCCTGTGAAAATTTGAGAAAAATTGGTTAAAACCCGCAGGAGCACAACTCGTTTGAAAATCAGTAATTACCGTAAACTTTTTCGGGAGAACATTGAATTTGAATATTAAATTTTCAATGTTTTTCTTATTGCAGCGAAATGTATTTTATTAAATAAGGGGCTGATTACATAAAATCCTAGTAAAACACAGCAAGCGATTACATGATCAAAACTCCAGCCCGGGCTGAGTTTCAGCCCGGGCTGAAATTTCAGCCCGGTTTGAGCTACCCGGGCTGAAATTTCAGCCCGGGCTGAAACTCAGCTCGGCATGCATGTAATCGCAAATAATTTCAGCCCGGCGTAAAAAACAACCGTTGAAATGGCTTTATTTTGCGTGTTTCTTTAATTTTTAAATACTTTACATATAACCACAGTCTCACACAAGTCAAATACTGGACTAATCAGTGTCTTATTGCTTCAAAGAAGCGTAACACGCTTATTGACCTATTTCGTGACACTCAGATTATTTCAGCCCGGGCTGACATTTCAGCCCGGGTTGATGATAAATATAGCTCTGACTAAACTCAGCCCGGGTTGAAACTGCTCATGTAATCGTGACGCAATTTCAGCTCGTTTAACCGGGCTGAAACTCAGCCCGGGCTGAAAACTCTTCATGTAATCAGCCCCTAACTCTGCGAGTTTTCAACATTTTTCGTTCAAACTTGGTCAGATAGTAGAACTAGTCTAATGCTTTCATGGAAACCAATAAAAAAATTTTAGGCAAAATTAACACTCAAAGGTGTTCTGTAACCTTAAGTATATAAACTATATTTTTATCAACATACCATGCGAGGTGAACAAAATCCGCATTAAAATCACTTCAAATATTGTACAACTGAACAAGTCACACGACAAGAGAAACAATATTATTTGCTTGATTGTATTTAAAAATAAATAATCCATATTTTCACGACATTTTAGAGAAATACCAGAATTAGTGCAGAAAATTTCCAATTCGTTATATTATAAATTCGTCCGTTTGTATAGTATTATTTAATTACTATTTTCCATATTTCACGCTGACAATACGTCAGACTCCGTGTTTTCCATATTTTTCTCTGACGTCAGACTTCGTGTTTTCCATATGACTCCGTGTTTTCCATATTTTTATGACGTCAGACTCCGTGTTTTCCATATGACTCCGTGTTTTCCATATTTTTCTCTGACGTCAGACTCCGTGTTTTCCATATTACTCCGTGTTTTCCATATTTTATGACGTCAGACTCCGGGACTCCGACTCCGGGACTCCGACTCCGGGACTCCGGGGCTCCGACTCCGGAACTCCGACTCCGTGTTTTCCATCTAACCTAGGAAAAACGCTAGCGTAATTAGACATAGCCTGCATGGCAGGCGGTACGTAGGAAATACCGCCTGCCGCAAAACTGGGTGTAAATGAACTACCGCCCCTGAAGCATCAACGCTATTTGCTGCCGAGCGAAGCGAGGCAGCACACTATTCTTGACATGGTATGATTGCTCCAGAGTCCACTCGACCCAGTCTTTCGCGCGATCTATGTATTGTCGAGATCTCGATTTTGTGTCTGTCGGGATTTCGGATTTCCGGGGCATTAATTAAAGCTTCAGGACGTTTTTTTATACGAGGGGGTGGTCAAACTTTATTTTGTATTGCGCACGCATGATTCTTCTCGGGATTCAGTTAATAATACGAGCAATACGACAATATTTACAAGCAGTTTGTTGGATTTTCACGAACAAATCAAGTAAGGATGGCTTACATCTTCCCGGATATCTTTCAGATGATGTACAAGAAAGCATTTTGTATATTTATAATACATATGCTGTTTTGATATTAATTGTAGTATACTATAATATAGTATTGAAACAATATGAATTCATAAACTTATATATGGTCATTTTATCTTCGGTTGTCTTGATCTATTCGTCAGTAATGTCCTATTTATACAATGAGTCAAAATTCATTTTAGTTTATTTGTTTGTGTGGCGATGTGCCAAGGCCAATGCGATGACAGGACCACATCAGCAATTTGCTGCTCATTTTTAAATCGTGTTTAAAAAATGACAATGTTTTTATTGATGAGTTTATAGTGTTCATTCTATATGTATGCAAGTCTTTAATAATAATCAGGCTTAATATAAAGATTCCATAGTGTCCCAGTGTGGATTGTTGACTTTGTGTACTTGTGTGCACATATTAACTATAAATACAGTTATTATTATGCATGAGTCAATTCCAGGAGTAACCCCCCTCTCCCCCAGGAACACACTCTAGAATTTCATTTGATTGGTTACAATAGTGCAAATGCCAGGGTACAGGGACACAACTAGGAGACTAATCCAGGGTACAGGGACACAACAAGGAGATTAATGCATGGCCCTCAGAAACCACTGCCAGCAGGGTACCCTTGGGCAAGCTGAGAGTGGAAAATTTTAATGGCATATCATAGGCATAGTCATTTAATAACATTATACTATTAAACTGCTATGGAATACTATAAAACTTTAATCTTGCTGAGAGTGGTTAAAAGGATTTAAACAACGAAATCATAAATCTTTAATAGTTGTATTTAAATTTGCATGGCACGTACAGCTAATAATTTCGCAATTTAAGCGAAACCATTCGTCAAATCCCTGGGACTCAGCTACTATAACAATACCCAGCCCCGGTGCACGTATATGACAGGCAAATTCCCGACCCCTGTGAACTGTCTATCGGAATTATGTCTCAGGAATTGACTCGTGCATTACATGTAATGCACCAGTAAAAGTAAAGCCCACCCCGGGATATAGGTGGGGATTAATTGGCTTTGAATAGTGTACCAAAACAGACAAATGCCCCCCCCCATATGGAACAAAATATGGCAAAAGACATCCCGGGGGAAAATTGTAAGTTGTGTAAGTGAATGTATCTCTTAATTAAATTAATTTAAAATACTCATTGAAAATTTATAAACCTGGTGGCAAATCATGTCAGCCATAACATGTCACATGGAGTGACTTTATATCTGATAATACTTGTCTTCATTAGTATTCTTTATATAATTATTCATCCTAATAAGTATGATTATATAATTGTTCATCCTAATTAGTGTTCTTTTGTAGTCGTATTTTAACCCATTAAGCGCCAGCGCTCTCTCCCCTTGACGAGTAAAATCGTCTGGCGTTAGACAGAGTAAAATACTAAAGTAGGGTGCATCAGGGTGCAATGCAACTCCATGGGTTAAGCTATTCAAAACACTCGAACTCGTGTTTTATCATATCTAAAACACTCGGCTGCGCCTTGCATTTTAAATATGGTAAAACACTCCTTCTTGTGTTTTAAATACTAAATCAAACATATTAAAATAGTGTAATTAGTGAATTATAACAAATTTATAAAATACCTCTCGAATTCCTTGCAAGGACGCCATCTTGACCTTTGTCACATGGTATAAAATGATAGAATCTGGGGATTTCATTCGACAAAATAGTACAAAATGTATATATGGCTGCCAACAATCCTCTAACAACCCACACTATCTTCCAGGTGTAATTTGGCAGAATGACAAAACCAACAAATTTTCAATATGGGGTTGGGAATTACTTTGACTGGTGCATAAATTCATAATAGCATAACAATTGACTTTTGTAAAAGGTGGTACGATCTGCTTATATCTCTGAAATGATCCTACCAGCCTACATTCATATATTCACCTGGCTGTATCACTACATTTTAGGGTATACTTATATACTATACTATATTGCTTACAATTTCTTATTATATATTTTTGCAGTTCTGACTGAGTACAATCTTAATCATTACAATGGGTGATGTCATCTGAAGCTGGCATATTGAACAAAAATGTCAACAAATAGATTGTGTTTCCCAATCAGCAAATTGTTTGGTTGTTCTACGATAAGGGGTAGCCTTGAAGGTGCCATTAAAACGATAATTGGGACAAAAACTGACTTTAATTAAAAATTGATATTATACAGTATGCACTGGCAAGCTGGTCATGGCAACTGGTCATGTTATGCTAATAAACCTGCATCATTTGAATAATACAAATCATTAAAAACTTTCATGGCATGACCTGTTGCTATGGCTTGCAATATTTAGCTGAGCTTCGACTTTGTGCAAGGTGTTTGATATTCAAATTGCACTTTTCCTACCTCCTGAATAGGCATCTTAGGGGCTGTTTGAATGTTGGAAGGCGGTTGAAATAAGTCACTATAAGCTAAATGAAAGTTCAAATGCTTGTTAAAAATCTTGCAGTTCAAGAAGATTATTATTGCTGCTTGAACAACCTTTTGTTTACAGTTTATAATCTATCTTATTAATGTAGTTTTTTTGCTGAATCATGCATTGTGAGTAAGTTTGTTAATTTCAATATATCAAAATAATCCTGACTCAAATCTCGTCCTGGCAAAGCGGGATAAAATCAACCCTTATTCTGCAAATTGTGCAATATCCCTTTGGGAGTGAGGGCGGTGAGGCAGCACTTTCCTTGCGATAGTAACTTCTAGTAATAATAATAATACTCAAAGCAAACGTCTGAGTTTACATATAAGAATACTATGAATTAGATTGTTACTATTATTTACATCAATTTTTAGTACTTTAAAATTCTAAGGTATAAGAATATAGATATATAGTTTATATAAAATTAAAAAGACATCTATTTATAAACGCGTTTTTGAAACTCTCAGTTTTAACAATTGGTAGTTCAAAGTCATGACCTCTCCGTCTTAAAGGTCTATTTAACTTACTAGGTAAAAGATTTATTTGTGTAAAGCATTCTTATCATTTATAATTCTTGACCATATGTAATTTCTTGTCTCCGCTCAATATTGTTGCTTTAAAATCTGATCTTTTGCTTGTATAACCATTTCTATAGGCACGATTGACAAACTTATCAATCTGATGTTGCTCGTACAATTGGGGATTAATAGTACTCGTGATGTTTGAAAATTTTGCCAAATTTACTCGCTATCGCATAATTACCTATAGTCAGACCATCATTACATTTGTCATGCAATATTTGATTTCTTTTTATCCATATAGTATATCTCCTGGATGAATACTGTGATGTGTATAAGACCATGCCATCAATGGACGATCGCCACAAAGCTAATGGGGCAAGACTTAATCGGCTGCTCATTGATTTGGGAACTGAAGCAATGAGAATGTTCTTTGATTCTATCCACCATCCCGCAACATTAACTGCCGCACTAATTACTAATCATGCTCTTCTACTGCGACTACAGAGACGCGGTGTTGTTAAACCCGATCAAATGCTTATCTTGTTTCCACCTATACCGTTGGTACCATCAAAATCAGGGGATTATGATATCACTTTATTGTACATACTGCTTCGTAACATTTGTGGCCTCCACCCACCTACATCTACTGGGTCATGGGATAGGCTACCTCCATTAACTGACCCATCTTTGGAAGCCGATTTGGCGAGAATCAAATATTATAGAAATAAAATTTACGGTCATATCACCAACACAAAAGTTGACGATGTTAAGTTTCAGTCTTACTGGAATGATATTTCCGGTGCTTTGTCCAGACGGGGAATTAGTGCCAATGAGATCCGTAAAATTAAAACAAATCCACTTGAAGAAAATAAAAACAGACAATTCTGGAGAGGCGCAGTACTACTAATTGTAGTGTCGCTTTTATTTATTTATGTAATGCTTCCAAACTTTTGGAAAGAAGTGCAAATTTCATCCGCACTAGATTTTTCTTCTCGTTTAAACATTTTGAAGGAAGATTTTATTGGACGGGAATTGATTTTCCGAGAATTAGAAGAAGCCGTCAATAGAACTCAATTTGATGTCGTTATTTTAGGCGACCCTGGTTCCGGTAAATCAGCTATAATGTCACAATTGATAAGCTCGCCGACGTCCAGTCCATTCATTCATAATAATATCGTTGGTTATCATTTGTGTAAATTCGATGAAGAAAGAACGCGTGATGGAACGAGATTTGTGAATACTTTGGTGGAACAACTTTCTAGAATACCAGAATATGAAAGCGTTATTAAGCAACAGCGTTTTCAGAACGAACTGAAGAATAACTGTGAGAAAGATCCAGTTGGCTGTTTTGATACAATAATATTTGAACCTTTGACAACCATAAAATTAGACCTACAGGATACTACAAAATTTATTATTATTGATGCGTTAGATGAGTGTATAGAGAAAAGTGAGAAAAGATCACAGATACTTACTATCGTCCAGAATAAAATGACAAAATTGCCTTCTTGGATAAAACTAATAATTACTTCCCGTAACAAAACATCACTCATTGCCAAGTTACCAACATTTGAAAAAGTTGTTATTAATTCAACAGACCAACGCAATTTAAACGACATTCGGTCTTATGTAGACCATGTTCTGCTTGGAAACGACCGTTTTAAGAATGAGTCTGTGATGGAATGTGTAGAGAACTTGATTGAACAACTAAACAATACTAAGGAAGGAAATTTCCTGTATTTTAAAACATTGCTTCAATATTTAAAGAAAAATGATTGTTACAAACCAGGCCAAGTGCCACAAACGTTAGACGAGCTTTACGGACGTTCGTTCAGAGATCGATTTTTAAAGGAGGACTTTGAACGTTTTGCACCACTTTTTGAAGTTCTTCTTGCTTCAAACGCTCCTCCTACCATAACTGAACTCGAAGCGATTTTGATATTTCGAAATGACGAATACAACACACGAAGAATTATCAAGCAAGTGTCTGAATTCTTGGATGAGAGGGATGGAACTGTTCGGTTTTACCACAAGTCGTTTGCGGACTGGTTGGTGACCCAAGCTGAGGATAGTGACGGACTTTTTATTAAAAAATCTAGTGGTCATCAATATATTGTAAATTATCTCTTGGAGAAAATAAATACTACTTTAACTCTTCAAGAATTATCAGAACTCTCTATGCACGTGTTATTCGGAGGGATGCAGGAGGGACAAGTAAAGAAACTGCTGGATTTGAACGTCGGCGAAATCTGGGAGCCACGAACTGGCAAATACATTTTGCACGTCCTTGCAGAAAAAAGAAAAAGCACAAAGATTATTGAAAAATTCTTAAAGAAGTTTGATTCTGTTGATATGTTAGATACTAATGGACTGACTCCTTTATGGTATGCTACGGGCAGTGGGAGCTTTAACAACGTTAAATTATTTATTGATAACGGAGCCGACCTCTACAGCACGCATCATAATAACTGGTTTAATCCAATTTCAGAAATAGCAGCGAAAGGCTATACAGAAATCGCCGAATTCTTAATCGACAATGGAGCAGACTTTGACAAGGAAAACCGATTTAGAGAGAAACCGATGACCGTGGCGGCAAAAAGCGGCCATCTTGACTTAGTTGAACTTTTAATTGATAAAGGAGTTGAGGCTGACGTCATTGCACTTCATCATGCTGCTGGAAATAATCACTCCAATATTGTGAGGTTTCTTCTTCGTAACAAAATACGCGATGAGTGCCTAGAGTGCAAACCAGATACAAACCTTTCATCTTGTTTAACTGGCGAAAATTTGAATTTCCAGCAATTCCATCAATGTTTCTGTGAGACCGCACTACATGCTGCTGTGCACGAGGGTCATCTTCACATAGCCGAGCTTCTACTTTCACATGGAAAGGACTCCCTTGAGTGTAAACGTCGTTCAGGAAAAACTCCATTACTGGAAGCTGCTGAAAGGAACGATACAGAGATGGCAATATTGCTTTTAAACGAAGGCGCAAACATTGACGCTGTTTGCGAAGACTCAATAAATGAGAATGACTATTTAGTTGATGAATATGAATTCGCGAAATCGAAGAAATGGTATTATCATTCTCCTGCCTATATCAAAGACAAAGGTGTTTGTCCTTGGGGAACCCAAAGTATCCACCATTTTGCAAGACATAAATCGTGGGAAATGGTGAAAGGATTAATTTCGAGATGGAAAGCAAATCCGTTTTCCGAGAATTTGCAAGGATTGACCTCTGTAAGTTTTGCAATAATGCAAGATCGTGTTGATCTTATTCAGTATTTTAACGCCACATACCCAGTCATGATGACCAAATTTATCACCAATGACACAGTTCAGCGTCATATGACTCTCTGCGGTTCTGTGGAAATTCTGAAATTACTTATCAGCATTGCAAATACAAGTGTTTTGCAAACCGTGTACGAAGATGGAATGACATTGCTACATTTAGCAACTCAATGGTCTCCTTATCCACCGACAGTTCTCGTTCTTGGAAGACCACCATTATGTCCACAAGTTGGTTTTTTTGATGTTCGGTATGTTAACGATTACAAAAAACGCTTAACGATAGTAAAGTTGTTAACCAAATTGCAACAAAACATTGTCAAGAAAGATAAACATGGAAGAACTGCTCTTCATTACGCCGCTGAAAATGGGTTCGCAGGTGCAGTTAGACATTTATTACGCCAGGGAAGCAACTGGGAGGCCAAAGGTTACTCCGTAATCAGAGACAATCCTTTGGCATTAGCATTGAAAGAATCACCTTCATACCCTCTTCATTTTCTTCCTTGTCGAACAACAAATGATGGAGTGTTTCAATCCTGTAACAGTACAATGTATGACGAAACAGCGAGGAGCCTGATCATTCAACAGCAGTCGTTGATAAAGAAATGTAGAAAAGGCACTAAACGTTTGCTCCGTACACTGGTGGAAAAAAATATGCCTTTGAGCTTGTATACCGTACTTAAAATTGGCGTTGATACTAACTGCGAAATCGAACTATTCAAGACGCATCTCGCCATCACAAGAGGTCCAATAGGTGAGCGTAGCCGAGAAATTAGCGAGGTTTTTAAAATCTTTCAAGTCAATGTAACCGTGGAATGCGGAATTCCTTTTGTTGTATCAGAGTTACACCTTATGGCGTATTTAGGAAAGATTAATGACACTGGAAATTTCTTCAAACTCTCCATCGACAACCGATCCTTTCCACTTCAAAAATTAATTCATATCCACCCCAAAGGTATTCGGATTTTTGACGAATGTCGTGACGAAGAGGGATATTTAGCAATCCACAGGGCAGTGCAGGGTGGAAACGCCGATGCCGTTGGTTTGTTTATTAGTTTGGGTGTTGATATTTCTAAGAAAACAAGATCTGGTTGGAATGCTCTTGATCTTTCTATTTTCTACCTAGTGCCTGAGCGATTTTCAAGACGAACATTAGAAGAAGATGACCTCTCGCATCTTGTGCGTTTCTTTTTTTTTCGCAAACATCATCAACCGTTGTATGTACAAATTAGTCGACAGCATGACTTACCTGATTATACCGAAGCCGCCTTTTTAGTCCAGGACCTACGAGAACTTGTATTCGAGAAATTGCTTGAACAATCCTTGAAAACAATTAGCGACAACGGCTCGACCAGTTTCTCCTGGTGCAAATCTGAGTTTACGGCACTCTCGCCACTTCACATCGCCGCATCTCGGGGAATGGAAATGCTTCAATATGTTCGCAAAAAGGCTCGAAGCTTGCCAATTCACTGTACCAATAAACATGGTGTTAGGCCTCGCTATATGGCGTATTTGTACGAAAACATAGAAAACGCCGAGACAAATCGAAAAATTTTTTTAGAAACTCCAGGTTTTCCTATCGAAGGACGATCGTTACAATATCCTGAACGTAATGCGGAATATCATCTCATTTACAACCATTTTTTCCAAACCCCGGTTGTAGACTTAAGCTACGAACTAGATGTTGAAGGCCTGTTCAAATGCCATGGTATAAATGATTTTCTTCCTAAACAAACAGCAATGGAGAGGCTAATAGAACGATGCAGTAATTCCTGTGGGCGTCAATCTGCATCGCAAGTCAGCCAAAAGCCCAGCTTTTTGCCACAGATAATGGAATCATATTGTGGTTCTCGTAAATGTCGTTGTGTGGAAATCATGCGACTGTTACAGAAACAGTTTTTCAGCCAACCGAGAAGGAACAAACGAGTGGGTAAATTTGTAGCAAAAAGAATGGGATGGAATGATACCTCACCCGATGGTGATGTCATGTACCGCTGGCCATTTCGCTTTCTACTCATGAAAGCATTGAAGACAGACAAAGAATATGAATATCTCAAGATCGTTGGTGAGGATTTAGAACCCATTGTTTCATAGGCGTACACAGGGCCGGCGCTAGAACGCTAATTGGGGGTGGGGTGTATATTCATATATTCATGTTCTGCATTATTAACTTCTTTTGAAATCCATTGTTGCGGTCAGTGACCATGAATGTATGAAATAAATTGAATATACTCCCCCCCCCCCCCCCA